TGGCCACTACCTCCTCTGTCCTCTCATGGTAGGGCTTGAGCATGTTGACCTGTAACATGCGTTTTACCCCTTTCCCGGAGCATCAGCTAATGCCAATTGGTGGTGTTGCACTTATGCTCCACCACCTGGTATGTGCCCTGCAGCTTGTTATTTCAGACAGGCTTCAGTACTAAGACCATCTGCCCAATCTAAATGCTGTGGCCCCTGTCTCCCCTTTCATACCAGGTGCGCTTATGTCCCTTGGTCATCTGGAGGTAGGTTATCTCGGACAGCCTGGGTCAGTTGCTCCATAGGGCAACGTCTCCCTCCCAGTGTTCTCTCACCAAGTCTAGAGGTCAGTAGTTTGCAGGGAGAGAACCCTGTAGATTCCTGCGACATCTCCCGATAGGCAAACAGGAGGTGCAGCAAGAATCTCTACCAGTTCTTACTTGTGGCTATAAAAGGTATTAGTCTAGGGGTGGTGTAGGGGAGTTCTGAAACTACTTGATGCCACAGAGTTTCCAGAGCTGGTGGGTGACTTCAGCGGTGAACGGAGTGCCCTGATCCAAAATAATCTCCCTGGGAAACCCCATTCGGGAAAATACTTGCATCAGGGCTGCAACTACAGTTTCCACCTGAATGTGCCACTGCTTTGGGGTACCTCGTGGCATAGCCCACTGTGATTAAAATATACTTTTTCCCAGCGGGACAAGACTTGGCTAGGGTTCCTATCAGGTCCACGGTCACAGGGCCAAATGGTTCCTCAATCATTGGGAGGGAATGAAGCTTAGCCTTTCGGCAGACTCACAGTTTCCCTACTTTCTGGCAAACATTGCAAGTCTGGAAATATTGCCCCAGATCCTTGGAGAAGCCTGGCCAGAAAAAGCTCTGAGTTAGACAGTGTTTAGTGCAGCTGACTCCTACATGACACAAGGGAATATGCCTCTGGGGTATCCCAAGTAAGGGACGCTGAGGAAAAGGGGACATGACTGGGTCCTACCTGGACTTCTGAATGCAAGTGTTCATTGGTGGTGCAGGCCTGTTGCCTGGTCGTTATAGGGTAGAGTTCTTTGGTGCTCGGGCAGTGCAAAAGGAAGAGGTTTATTGTCCAAGATCGTTACTGATGAAGACTTCAGTTTAAAAGTCTTGCATTAACCCAACCGTGATCATCCTAGCTCCAGTGCTCTAGTTCAAGTGTACCTTGGCGGTGGGCAGGCGGCATACGGCTCCACCTGCTATGGTCACAGACTTTCCAGTCTTTTCAGAGTCACTCACAAGATGCTTTTAGACCAGGGTTAATGTGGCTCCTGTGTCCTGGAGACCCCAAACTGTTCAGCCGTTCGGTCTCGGTATTGTAGCAATGAGCAGCCGCTCTAGGTGCTTGGGTGCACTCTCGCTTCATATTTCCAGAATAGGGATATTGACGGCACTGGGTTGCTGCTTGGCTTGGGACCCGGGAAGGTGACAGAGGGAACGAAGTACTGCCCCTTTGCTGAATGGTTGGTGCTAGAAAATGTAGCTGGGCTGGCGATTTGATGGTCCGAGTCTGGGTCGCTGGTGTTTGGGATCGAGATATTAGTCCCACTAGGCTGCTTCGGTTAAGGTCAGTGGTTGACGGTCTCTTACCCATTTTTGCACGTCAGGAGCCAGCCCATTGTAGAACAGCTGCAGCAGCATAATTTGGAGCAGCTCTTCCAGAATCTGAGCTTGATGCACCTGCATCCAGTTAAGGGCTGCCTGGTGTAGACGGCAAGCCCATTCGGTGTGAGAATCCTTTTCTCCTTTCTTGAGTTCTCTAAACTTGCACCGGCATACCTCTAGGGTAATGGCATACCTGGCTAGGAGAACTTGCTTGACCCTCTGGTAGCTATGAAGGTCAGCATCTGGGACCTTTCTGTAGGCTTCGGCGGCCTGGAGTTTTTAGCTTCCTGGCGAGGAGTGGAACCCAATCTCCAGGGCTGATGTCATGTAGATTACACTGTCACTCAAAGTCCTGGAGCTGCTGCCCCCTCTAAGGGTTGTCTCTTTCTCTAGGAATCAACCTTGTAGAAGGTCTGGTAGAGAATTGTAAAAAGCTATTATCACCTGGATACAGAATTTTCTCCCAGACACAGATACGCATGGGCGGGATATGTATGTGTTGAATGGAGACCCCATGCTGGAGGTCTGTGCATAAAAGGCTGCATTCGGAACAATAAAATCAGATCCGCTCCCAGAACTATGAACTATGTGTCGTCTAGTTACTGGGGAACAGAGCTATATTAACAGAAGGTTCTATTTCTGACTGAGAGGAGAGTTTAGCAGAGGTAACCAGTCAGGTTACCCGGGTATGGCTATATCTGGTGGCAGCGGTGGGATAGTACCTCCCAGCTTCATAGACCATAGACCAAGCTTCATCCCCCTCCCCATCATTGAGGAACCATTCAGCGGTGTGGCCGTGGACCATACCAGGTATCCCGAAGTAGTGGCACTGACTAACATTCAGGTGGATACCATATATGCAGCCCTGATGCGAGTATTCTCCTGAATGTGATTTCCCAGAGAGATTATTTCTATTCAGTTCATCGCTGAAGTCACGCACCAGCTCTGGAAACTCTGTGGCATCAAGACAATCCAGATCTCCACCTTCTACCTCCCAGACTAACGACTTATATGAGTGCTTCAATAGTACGTTAAGGCAAATGCTCCGTACTTTTGTAGCCACAAGTAAGTACTGGGAGAGATTCTTGCTACACCTTCTGTTCGTATATCAGGAGGGGGCACAGGGTCCCTCGTTGAAAACACAGGGTCCCTTGCTGAAAACAGAGCACAGGGTTCCTCGCTGAAAACCACTGTTCCACTGGAGAGTAAGAGGACCCATAGACTTGGTGAGAGAACACTGGGAGGGAGACGTAAGCCAAGATGATACACCCCTATCATGCCCTATGTGCTGGAGTTCCGAGAGGAACTGTTCCAGGTTGTTCGAAATAACCTCCAGCCAACCCAGGGACGTCCGTGCACCTGGTACGATAGGGGAGCCAATGACTGCAGCTTTCAGATCGGGCAGAAAGTCTTGGTACTGAAGCCCATCCGCAATGACAAGCTGCAGGCAGGCCCCATACCAA